TAAACTACCAATGGCCATTTTTCATAGGAGTCCAAAATAATGGCTTTTTAAATAATAAATGAGCTGTCTGATAATAGGTTGAAAAAGGACGTAGTTTATTTATAAACTAACTCCCCAGTAAAACTCATTGGTTTCACGTCGACTATACGTGTTAAAGTTTTTTAGTCCCAATTTATCGGGCGAGTCACTGACAGAAAGTGACCGAATTAAGATATAAAATATATTTTAATGAAACATGTGGCTCGCCCCACTTCATACAAAGAACTTAGGGATAAAGTACATATGTTATGGAAGAAGTAACTGTGAAAATTTCACGTAATTTTGCATACTTTATTCCAAAGTAGTACGTTAATAAAAAAGATCACAAAAATTCAACTGTCCTCCACTGATCATTACTGCCCTGCGAACTGATGAATTGAATACGGTACCCATTGAATACAATGGAACATGAAGTTTTCTCACATGAATGAACGAAAAGTTGCAAAAAAACCCAGACAAAATCGCCATCAATATTTCAGGGAAAAAGTCAACTTGTTCCTCACGACACTCATCACAGCGTGAATGCAAGCATGATTGCCGCCGCCTTTATAGTTGGTAACCAACAACCCCCCTATATGCTGCATATAATCGTCGTTGCTCTTTTTTTGAAAAAAAAAAAAATTTAACGACAATATAGGTTTTAACAACTGCGCAGTTGTTAGATGTGAGTTATGAATTCAAGTTATCGGTGCCGCGGCCCGGTTGAAAGCGCTATCTGTCCCTGTAATTAAGAGAAATAAGATTTGCTTTCAGATCAGTTTATATCATGTCGCTTCGGACATTTTAATTTCACAAGTTTTCATACTAAAGGTGTAGAGCATTTTGTTCTTCATAAAATGATCGTTTCAGTGATGTTAACCACGCACAGTGTTATCCAACACTGAGTGAGTGATTAGTGAGCGCGGATCTCTATTGTGTAGAGATTAGTGTAGTTAGCAGGCCGAGCAACCTGGATCCAAATGCTTTTCATTGTTGCTTTCGAGCGCAGCGACCATCCTTTTTCTTTTGGAGTCTTGGAGTTCAAACTCCTTGGGTCCTAGATGCTCGGTACAAGGGATTTGTAACAAAAAATATTTACGGTAACTGTAAATTATTGTAAATGTTTACAGTATGTCCCCGAAAAGTGTCCGTCTGACTATTTTTGAAATAACTATAAACCATGAGTTCAATATTATTTTGAAAATGTGCAGATACTCATCAACCCCTATATATGAGTTTCATATCCGTCACGCATCACTACACAATTGTCAATTGATCACAACAACATTTGTGGACACTGTGGCCAAGTTCCTTGCCTTATTCAATTTAAGCTGTGTAAAACCCCTCATGTTATGGAAAGGGCTGCAGTTTGGATTGAAATCATTTGCCTGGCTATCAGTAATCATGGCAAGACATCAGTTTAATATTTAAGAGCAATTTAAATTCCAAACCACATCAGTCTTTTTTTCAACATGCAGGATTTTACAGCTTACTTATCACAGTACTGGAATTGACTCGATTAACGCATAGAACTTGGTCACCGTGTACAGAAATGTTGATGTGCTCAACTTCCATTAATGCGCGACTGAAATTAAATGAAACTCATAGGGGAAACCGTTGAGGCCAAGGATTAAAAAATGACCCCAAAAAGGGCCAAAAACAAACATAACAATCAAAATTGACCTTATATTGTTTATAGTTATTTTCAAAACAGTCAGACAGACATGTTTTTGGGACATACTCTAGAGCACAAATTATGGAAAGGGAAGTAAATCGGGGTCTGCATAAATTTTCTTTTGTTAAAATAAGCATCGACCAACGTATTGTTAACAGTGGTGTCGAGTAATTAGTTCGTAAACAAATCGCATTCTATATAGCGGCCTATAACCGTAACGGATCTTTTCAACTTGTTGCCAAAGCTAAAAAGTGTCTCAAAAATACAGCGGATGGCAGACGCCCAAAATAGAACAATAGTTTTTTTATCCATTGAAATAAAACACAAAAACTGAAAATTCCTTAGGAGGAAAAATCGAATCGAATGAAAACACGGACTTTTATTGTTAATGTTATTCAGTTGAGGTATCAGCGTTTTGGGGTTCGGAATGTTATAATGTTGTTAACGAGAGAGGGCGCTGTAGGCCTACTTTGTAAACGGCGTTCTCGCACGCAGCACACGTGTTTCTGAGCTGTCAAACCCGGAGTAATTGTCATGGAACTTGGAATGTGGAGCTTTTAAACCGGTGAATTTTGCTTGAATTTTGAAAATGCTTGATTTTTGGTAGGTGCAAAGCTGAAATTCGGAATGTTCTCGTTTCAATGAATGTATTGAAAATCTTTGTGTGTGGACTCTTCGGTGTGGCAAATTGTTCGTCCCCGTACAAACTGTCTGGCATGTCCGAGCAGTTCTGGAATCAGTAGGCTTGCTCGTCAGCCTTCTGTTTCTGGCATGCTCTGTTTTCGGGGGTCAGCACTCTATGGATTTTGGACATGCACCTTGATACTGATAGACGAAATTCCTTTGTCTGGAATTCCAATTTTCTGAACACAAATCCACCCAAAATGTTCGAAAGCTTGATCCATATCTCTGAAATATGTTAGAACTATCGACAATTGGATCATGGGTGGAAAATCTGAGTTTTTACTCGCCACCCTTGCGTCTTCGATCTGACGAATGCACGGTTATGTTCAAGTGTGTGTTTACGTATGTTTCACGTGCGCTGATTTTCGTGTGACCTCAGCAGGTCAACTCTACATTCGGCTTGACCATTTGAGATGGAGGGGGGATTAATTGTATGCTTTGCGTCGCGCAACAGTGAATTATGTACGTCATTGTGGCGCGCTAAATACTCTGCTCGGTATCGTTACAAGCAAAGTCCTATAGGCCTAACACGGCGCTATAGGATCTTTGGTTACAAGTTGTCAGTGTTGGTGGACTGTTAACTGATGGATCTTTTCATCCCTTTTTTTGTCAAATGTAAAAACAGTCCACCAAAACTGACAACTTTTAATGATACCGTGCAGCGTATTCAGCACGCCTAAAATGATGTTCATAATGCACTGTTGCGCGATGCAAAGCATACCATCCCCCGTCCATCCCAAATGATTGAGCCGAATGTAGAGTTGACCTGCTGAGGTCACGCGAAGATCAGCGCACGCGCAACTTACGTAAACACACACTTGAATCATGCTTGAACATAACCATGCATTCGTAAAATTAGTCCCCCCTTTTCAGATGTATTATACGCTATAATGAACCTGGAAATTACATGAAATATAGAAGTCTGAAGGGGGGGGGGGATTAATATTCTATCGCTTTAAAGAGGGCGAGTGTGCTTCTAAAGCATAAATAAACTAGAAAGTATAAATGTGAAAATACAAACTTGACAAAGTTCTTACATTTTCGGGTAAATGTTTTAAGTGTGGCCTTTATTTACGGAGGTAGTCCAGTAAATTGGCCACATTTATGGGGCTAGTCTTAGCAGAATAGGGCCTACATGTAACTTGAGATAGGGCCCCTAGTTTTGTAGGATTGGTAATGACTACAGTGCTCTGCCCCCCCCCCCCCCCCCAGTTTAAGATCAAATACAGGCATGCCCGGCTGTTACAGATTTAACAACTGATACAGTTTGAAAACAAATTATTTTGACTCGTCTGTACACAGTATTTGTTTTGTGAATGGGTAGTCTTGATTGGGGGGGGGGGGGTGTATGTACCCCCACCACTAAATTTTTTATAGACTGCCCCTTTCCATTCAAGTGCCCTTTTTCACCAGCGTTTTAATACCGGCCGATCGAAATTGGCCTTTTATTTAGCAAGTGCCCTTTGTTTAAAAAAAAAAAAATTACCCTTTGTTTTCTTAAAACGAGAGACCTTGATTTAGGAGCCGCTGTTTCAGATTGACTTTTTTTGGAATTTTACGCATGTGCCACCCTGAAAAGCGTACAATAGTTTGCAGGATCATCCGATTTGTACAGCATCCGCACCCATTGGAAGATTATACCGTTCTCCAACCCCCCACCCACTATTTGATTTTACGGAGGCCCAGTGTCAGGAGCAAAATAACACCATCTATATTTCAGCACGGATGTGCGAGTACCCGTTTCAAAAACTTTGAACCCCCTGGTCATTCTGTGTCTAATCCACACCCCTGTTTTGTAGGATTTTGGCAGAATCAGGATACCTCCATTATGAAAAAGTTGGGGGATTTTGATTGATTCAGTACAGTAAGCCTAGCGGTACTGCAGGATTTTGATGGCTGCAGGATACCTCCATATTGAGCAGTTGGTGGACTTTGATGGTTTCAGGTTCTCAACAGATTAACTCCCTCCAAACTGGTGGATTCTGGTGGCCTCACTGGCCACCAACATTTTTTTCCATTGCAAAATTGATGGATTTTGGCGGATTCAAGATACTTTCTAGTAAAAATACCCCAGGGGTTGGGTTAAAGTAGGCAGTAGCACCATGATGTTTTAATTTTAAAAAGTTAGATAGATGCTAGTCTTACTGGGACTCAAACACAGCTACATATCTTCTGTTAGTGTCCAAGATTGTCTGCCTTGCACAGTGCCTCCAAAAGTTTCGATTTTGCAACGGCCAGTTGACTGGAAAAAATCCATGGAGAGTCTGTCGGCAAAATTTGTGGTCCTCCCCCCACAATTCACTTTACCCCAGCATGACTGCTCTTAGTAAGCAGGAAGTTGTGGCTTCAAGTTCCATTGACCCGGTTGAGCCGGCTTCTGAATTGTCTGTCTCAAGCTCTCCAACAGCTCTTACTGAACAGTGTTTATTATAATAAATATATCATATATATCTGTGATACTTGAAAACAAAAAGCCCAGTGCCAAGTGTTGCTCAGAGTAATATGTACTGATAATCCTTTTCCTATCTGCAAAGAATACTTTTTTGTCCATGGCAATGGGTACTCTGTTGTCTGTGTAATTGTTGTTATAATTTTAAAGTGGCCTTTTCTATTTCTGTTACAGATTCAGAAGCTCCAGTCATATCAAACTGTCCCAGTGATATTACTGCTTCAGCATCCATCGGCCAGTCAGCAGTTGTTGTTAGTTGGGATCCGCCATCAGCAACTGATAATTCAGGATCTGTGACACTTTCCAGTAATGCCAATCCTGGAGATCTTTTCTCTATTGGAAATTCAACAGTTACGTACACTGCCACAGACCCATCTTCAAATAGTGCTACTTGCCAGTTTATTATCACTGTTCAAGGTGAGTGTAATGTTTGTGAGACCATGTTTTAAAAAAAGTTTTAGGACAAACACCTCTGCCCCTCCCCTACTGAAAAAGAACAGAGAGAAAAAAAATGACTTTCTGACTGTAACATATCAAACCTTTCTGAATATTTTCCATTATTTCTGAAAATGTCTTTTGATCGGGTTTCCAAACAAGTTGTAAATTATTGTTTTTGTCATCAAAACTCTTCAATGTAATGAGTGAAAGTTGCAGACATTTGTATTTACAATGTACAGTTACTCCTGAATATACAGCACAGTATTCTAACTCTGTTGTGTTATCTATAGACAGCAAAAGAACACAATTACAGTGAACTTAAGTTAAGAAGAAATAACTCCTGAAATTTTAATCTAGTAGTCTTTTGAAGGGCAAAACCTAATTTGATTTATATCACCCCGACGCAAAATTCCATCTTATAATAGTTTATGTGGTACCCGCTGCTATGTACATCAGATTCGAACCGGCCAACCGATCCCGTTAGCTCGGTGGTCGAGTGGTAAGACATCTGCACTAGAAAGCAGGAGGTCGTGGGTTCGAGTCCCACCCGAGTGATTTTTTCCAACTTTCACTCGGGAGGTAACACACTGAGTATACAGTGTTTAAAAACGTCGGTGAAGGGCAAAACCTAATTTGATTTATATCACCCCGACGCAAAATTCCATCTTATAATAGTCTTTTATCCTTACATCTACAGATGCAGTTGCAACGACAGCTGAAATTACTACACAGGAGGATGCCTCTCCAACAGAGCAAACAACTACATTTCAAACAACTGAGGCATCAACAGCGAAGGTAACAACAGTATCTGCCACAACAGTGGCCCAACAAACAACTTTGAATGATGAAACAACACAATTACCAACAAGTGTAAAAAGCACAACAGAGACTACAACTCCAGATCACATTATAACTACAGCAGCACTGACAGCAAGTGATGAAACCACCACTACAGTAAAAACAACAACATCAACAACAACAGTTGGAGGCTCCACTACAGCTGAGGTAACAACTAATCCAACTGCAGGTGTGACACCCACAGAAACACAGACAACTAGCATTGACGCCACCACTGCAGCTGCGGCAACAACGGAAGATGGCAACACTTCACCAGCTCATACCACCACCACTGAAGCAACCCCTACAGTTGCAGCAACAACATCAGCACAGACAACTACTGTTGAAGCCACTTCTACAGTTGGAGCCACAACAATGGCTTCAGATACCACTACAGTTGAGACAACAACCTCTTCTTCAGTGGACACAACTGCTGCAGATGTGACAACCACAGCAGAACAGACATCCATTGCTGAGGCCACTTCTACTGCTGCAGTCACAACAGCAGGTGCAGGTACTACCACAGCTGAGGGAACAACTAGTCCTGTGGTGGATACAACTGTTGTGGATGCGGTAACAACAGAGGCTCAGACATCCTCTGTTGTAGACACAACAGTCTCGGCAGATACCACAACAGCTGAGGGAACAACTTCTCCTTCAGTGGACACAACTGCTGCAGATGTAACAACCGCAGCAGAACAGACATCCATTGCTGAGGCCACTTCTGCAGCTGCAGTCACAACAGCAGGTGCAGGTACTACCACAGCTGAGGGAACAACTAGTCCTGTAGTGGATACAACTGTTGTGGATATGGTAACAACAGAGGCACAGACATCTTCTGTTGTGGACACAACAATCTCAGCAGATACCACAACAGCTGAGGGAACAACCTCTCCTTCAGTGGACACAACTGCTGCAGATGTGACAACCACAGCAGAACAGACATCCATTGCTGAGGCCACTTCTACAGCTGCAGTCACAACAGCAGGTGCAGGTACTACCACAGCTGAGGGAACAACTAGTCCTGTGGTGGATACAACTGTTGTGGATGCGGTAACAACAGAGGCTCAGACATCCTCCTCTGTTGTAGACACAACAGTCTCGGCAGATACCACAACAGCTGAGGGAACAACTTCTCCTTCAGGGGACACAACTGCTGCAGATGTAACAACCGCAGCAGAACAGACATCCATTGCTGAGGCCACTTCTGCAGCTGCAGTGACAACACCCGGTGCAGGTACTACCACAGCAGAGGGAACAACTAGTCCTGTGGTGGATACAACTGTTGTGGATATGGTAACAACAGAGGCACGGACATCCTCTGTTGTAGACACAACAATCTCAGCAGATACCACAACAGCTGAGGGAACAACCTCTCCTTCAGTGGACACAACTGCTGCAGATGTGACAACCACAGCAGAACAGACATCCATTGCTGAGGCCACTTCTACAGCTGCAGTCACAACAGCAGGTGCAGGTACTACCACAGCTGAGGGAACAACTACTGTTGTGGATACAACTGTTGTGGATGCGGTAACAACAGAGGCACAGACATCTTCTGTTGTAGACACAACAATCTCAGCAGATACCACAACAGCTGAGGGAAGAACTTCTTCTTCAGTGGACACAACTGCTGCAGATGTGACAACCACAGCAGGACAGACATCCATTGCTGAGGCCACTTCTACAGCTGCAGTCACAACAGCAGGTGCAGGTACTACCACAGCAGAGGGAACAACTAGTCCTGTGGTGGATACAACTGTTGTGGATGTGGTAACAACAGAGGCTCAGACATCCTCTGTTGTAGACACAACAATCTCAGCAGATACCTCAACAGCTGAGGGAACAACCTCTCCTTCAGTGGACACAACTGCTGCAGATGTGACAACCACGGCAGAACAGACATCTATTGCGGAGGCCACTTCTACAGCTGCAGTCACAACAGCAGGTGCAGGTACTACCACAGCTGAGGGAACAACTACTGTTGTGGATACAACTGTTGTGGATGTGGTAACAACAGAGGCACAGACATCTTCTGTTGTAGACACAACAATCTCAGCAGATACCACAACAGCTGAGGGAACAACTTCTCCTTCAGTGGACACAACTGCTGCAGATGTAACAACCACAGCAGAACAGACATCCATTGCTGAGGCCACTTCTACAGCTTCAGTCACAACAGCAGGTGCAGGTACTACCACAGCAGAGGGAACAACTAGTCCTGTGGTGGATACAACTGTTGTGGATATGGTAACAACAGAGGCTCAGACATCCTCTGTTGTAGACACAACAATCTCAGCAGATAACTCAACAGCTGAGGGAACAACCTCTCCTTCAGTGGACACAACTGCTGCAGATGTGACAACCACAGCAGAACAGACATCTATTGTGGAGGCCACTTCTACAGCTGCAGTCACAACAGCAGGTGCAGGTACTACCACAGCTGAGGGAACAACTAGTCCTGTGGTGGATACAACTGTTGTGGATGTGGTAACAACAGAGGCACAGACATCTTCTGTTGTGGACACAACAATCTCAGCAGATACCACAACAGCTGAGGGAACAACCTCTCCTTCAGTGGACACAACTGCTGCAGATGTGACAACTGCAGCAGAACAGACATCCATTGCTGAGGCCACTTCTACTGCTGCAGTCACAACAGCAGATGAAGGTACTACCACAGCTGAGGGAACAACTAGTCCTGTGGTGGATACAACTGTTGTGGATGTGGTAACAACAGAGGCTCAGACATCCTCTGTTGTAGACACAACAATCTCAGCAGATACCACAACAGCTGAGGGAACAACCTCTCCTTCATTGGATACTACATTTCCAGATATGACAACTGCAGCAGAACAGACATCCATTGCAGAGGCCACTTCTGCAGCTTTAGTCACAACAGCAGGTGCAGGTACTACCACAGCTGAGGGAACAACTAGTCCTGTGGTGGATACAACTGTTGTGGATGTGGTAACAACAGAGGCACAGACATCTGTTGTAGACACAACAGTCTCAGTAGATACCACGACAGCTGAGGGAACAACTTCTCCTTCAGTGGACACAACTGCTGCAGATGTGACAACTGCAGCAGAACAGACATCCATTGCTGAGGCCACATCTACTGCTGCAGTCACAACAGCAGATGCAGGTACTACCACAGCTGAGGGAACAACTAGTCCTGTGGTGGATACAACTGTTGTGGATGTGGTAACAACAGAGGCACAGACATCTTCTGTTGTGGACACAACAATCTCAGCAGATACCACAACAGCTGAGGGAACAACCTCTCCTTCAGTGGACACAACTGCTGCAGATGTGACAACCACAGCAGAACAGACATCCATTGCTGAGGCCACTTCTACAGCTTCAGTCACAACAGCAGGTGCAGGTACTACCACAGCAGAGGGAACAACTAGTCCTGTGGTGGATACAACTGTTGTGGATATGGTAACAACAGAGGCTCAGACATCCTCTGTTGTAGACACAACAATCTCAGCAGATACCTCAACAGCTGAGGGAACAACCTCTCCTTCAGTGGACACAACTGCTGCAGATGTGACAACAACTGCTGCAGATGTGACAACCACAGCAGGACAGACATCCATTGCTGAGGCCACTTCTACAGCTGCAGTCACAACAGCAGGTGCAGGTACTACCACAGCAGAGGGAACAACTAGTCCTGTGGTGGATACAACTGTTGTGGATATGGTAACAACAGAGGCACGGACATCCTCTGTTGTAGACACAACAATCTCAGCAGATACCACAACAGCTGAGGGAACAACCTTTCCTTCAGTGGACACAACTGCTGCAGATGTGACAACCACAGCAGAACAGACATCCATTGCTGAGGCCACTTCTACAGCTGCAGTCACAACAGCAGGTGCAGGTACTACCACAGCTGAGGGAACAACTACTGTTGTGGATACCACTGTTGTGGATGCGGTAACAACAGAGGCACAGACATCTTCTGTTGTAGACACAACAATCTCAGCAGATACCACAACAGCTGAGGGAAGAACTTCTTCTTCAGTGGACACAACTGCTGCAGATGTGACAACCACAGCAGAACAGACATCCATTGCTGAGGCCACTTCTACAGCTGCAGTCACAACAGCAGGTGCAGGTACTACCACAGCAGAGGGAACAACTAGTCCTGTGGTGGATACAACTGTTGTGGATGTGGTAACAACAGAGGCTCAGACATCCTCTGTTGTAGACACAACAATCTCAGCAGATACCTCAACAGCTGAGGGAACAACCTCTCCTTCAGTGGACACAACTGCTGCAGATGTGACAACCACGGCAGAACAGACATCTATTGCGGAGGCCACTTCTACAGCTGCAGTCACAACAGCAGGTGCAGGTACTACCACAGCTGAGGGAACAACTACTGTTGTGGATACAACTGTTGTGGATGTGGTAACAACAGAGGCACAGACATCTTCTGTTGTAGACACAACAATCTCAGCAGATACCACAACAGCTGAGGGAACAACTTCTCCTTCAGTGGACACAACTGCTGCAGATGTAACAACCACAGCAGAACAGACATCCATTGCTGAGGCCACTTCTACAGCTTCAGTCACAACAGCAGGTGCAGGTACTACCACAGCAGAGGGAACAACTAGGCCTGTGGTGGATACAACTGTTGTGGATATGGTAACAACAGAGGCACGGACATCCTCTGTTGTAGACACAACAATCTCAGCAGATAACTCAACAGCTGAGGGAACAACCTCTCCTTCAGTGGACACAACTGCTGCAGATGTGACAACCACAGCAGAACAGACATCTATTGTGGAGGCCACTTCTACAGCTGCAGTCACAACAGCAGGTGCAGGTACTACCACAGCTGAGGGAACAACTAGTCCTGTGGTGGATACAACTGTTGTGGATGTGGTAACAACAGAGGCACAGACATCTTCTGTTGTGGACACAACAATCTCAGCAGATACCACAACAGCTGAGGGAACAACCTCTCCTTCAGTGGACACAACTGCTGCAGATGTGACAACTGCAGCAGAACAGACATCCATTGCTGAGGCCACTTCTACTGCTGCAGTCACAACAGCAGATGAAGGTACTACCACAGCTGAGGGAACAACTAGTCCTGTGGTGGATACAACTGTTGTGGATGTGGTAACAACAGAGGCTCAGACATCCTCTGTTGTAGACACAACAATCTCAGCAGATACCACAACAGCTGAGGGAACAACCTCTCCTTCATTGGATACTACATTTCCAGATGTGACAACTGCAGCAGAACAGACATCCATTGCAGAGGCCACTTCTGCAGCTTTAGTCACAACAGCAGGTGCAGGTACTACCACAGCTGAGGGAACAACTAGTCCTGTGGTGGAAACAACTGTTGTGGATGTGGTAACAACAGAGGCACAGACATCTGTTGTAGACACAACAGTCTCAGTAGATACCACGACAGCTGAGGGAACAACTTCTCCTTCAGTGGACACAACTGCTGCAGATGTGACAACTGCAGCAGAACAGACATCCATTGCTGAGGCCACATCTACTGCTGCAGTCACAACAGCAGGTGC